TTTTCCTTGACTAAAATAAAGACATTTTCAGCATAAATTAATGCAGAAAATACACAAATGGGTGCAAAATGAACCTGAATGCAGGAAATGAAGCGTCCATTAAGACATTTTAATTAAATCTATCATTCAGTCTGACCGGGGTCCTATTTGACGATTGGAAGTTGTTTAATTTAATATTGCATGTTATGAATCTAGGGTGCACATAGCTCACCACGCTAAGCGGCCCCTTCCCGCACTGGGAACTAGTCCTGGCGTCAGAGGCCCCGGGTTCGTATCCGGCTCAGGGCTCATCACACTTTTCTGACCTGTCCAGGGTGTCCCCTGCCTTCGCCCTAAGTCAGCTGGGATAGACTCCAGGCTCCTAGTGAGGACTAAGTGGTGTATAGATGATGGATGGATGTTATGAATCTACATGTTAATTTGCAGCATTTTGTTTTTACTATAAATAATGTTCATGTTTTTTCTACTGGGTTTGGATTGACAATATCACAGTTACCAGCAGAGCGCTGCAGCAGACTGAGCTTCAACCTAAACCATCATTAACTTTAAAATCTCTGAACTGGAGTTTTATTCTTGCTTCTCTTCAACGTCAAACATCTGGGAATCAGTCACAGAATGAATTTTTTGGGGGGGGGCTTTTTGCCTTTATTTTTTTTAGAGCAGTAGAGATAAACAGGAAAGGAGGGAGAAGAATGGGGAGAGACCTGCAGCAAAGGGTCGTGAGCAGGAGTCGAACCCACGACCGCTGCTCCAGGGAACTATAGCCCCTGTTTGTGGGTCACCCGCTCAAACAGGTGAGCTATAGGGGCACCCACAGAATGATTTTTATGTATTATTTTGCATATATTGGATGATTACATCTGAAATTGTTAGGAGTCTTCTGCTCGATCATCTCTGATTTGTTGATTTTTTTATAAATTATCTATCATAAACTGTGTAAAACCATTTTGGATCAGGCTATCAACTAATATTTTTGTTTCAGTGGTAAAGTGAACATTTCTGCTCAATCAGTTATGAAATATATTTAATATTACACAAAGTATCCTACATGTTTTGTATTTTTGTGACATGCAGCTACATATGGTTCAGAAAATATCTCTAGTAGACTTCTGAAGCATCTTTTTTTTTAATTATTTCTGTCCAATGCTGCAGATTCTGAATCAATGACATGATGAGAAATAACAGCAAACATTTCAGGATTTTATATTTAATAATTAATTAACTATTGTTGTCCAAACATAGGTTCAGATTTTATTGTGTATGATAAAATGTGCTGAAAGTGGATCAATTGGCTGTTTGTTTGTTTTTTTATGCAACTTAGAAAGTAATTTATATACCAAACTAAAATCTTACAAATCCCTTTACGATGCTAAATGCAAATCAGAGATGGCTGAGTAGAAACTTTTTAGAAAATTGCATGATTTGAGATTAAATTGTCCCACTGTTTGGACTAATGGATGCAAGAACAAAAAATGTAAATATAGCGTGAATGTGTTTCAGGTATGTAGGTATATGTGTGTGTTACCTCACGACACCTTGACTGTTGGAGCAGGCGTTTCAACTCCCTCCCCAGTCAACAGGTCTCCTCTTCATCAGCAGCCCTTTCCACTCAGCCAGAACCCAGCCAGCCTGTAATTACTGCCTCCACTCGAGAGGAATACCAACAGGCGCAGACACACTGGGAGGAACGGCAACAACAACAGGGAGCAGCGTTTCAGCCCACAGCGCCCTTCCACGACTTCAAAACACCTGCAGCCGGCTGCTGCGCGCGAGCAGCAGCTGCCATTTGGGAAGATCTAATGAGCAAACGGCGGCTTTAATGAAACAAACTTTATCATTCTCAGAGAATATCCGGAGCCCAGACTGTTTACCTCATCCCCGTGGCCTGAGCACGGCTCTGTTCAGACACAGACACATGGCGGTGACAGAAAGCTGTGAGCTGCCTGTACATGACTCCCTTGTTAGAAGAGCCAGAGAGGGTGGCAGGAACTCAGGCTGGACACTACGTCAACTCAACACCGTATGGCACGCCATGTGGCAGCAAGCAACTAGGATTTTTCAAGCGTGGAACTACACAAGACATAGATAACACTTGCAGCTCACCTCTTCTACACATAATTGGGAAAAATAATTTGATGGATCACCTCTAACAAAAAAAAAGGGGGCCTTTTCGGTTATTTTTACACTCAGCTTGAGCAGGAATCACTTCCAGCTTCATAAGTGCCACATTTATAGAAACACGGATGAACCTCAGTGGGATTTACACACAAATGTCACTAGTTTATTTAAAAAAAAACAAACAATTCTTACTCATTGTAGCTGCAAAGTAGCTTCACACACAAAAAAAGGTGAACCAGAGTGATGAACGTCCCCCTTAGCGCTCCTAAAATCTTCCTCCTGCACATCCTCAATATAAAAATAGATTACAAACACGGCACAACTCTAAATCGAGCTCCACTCACTCATCAATATACAGCACGGTAATGGAGGTGGGTAGTTTCTGCCCACACTTTCTGGTCCTCACTGAAGCTCTCCATGACTGGGAGTTGTACTGTATTATTCCATCGCCTATGGCATGATGCATGGCAGCCGCAACTGGGGAGGGAGTAGGGGGGTCACTCTGTAATCTGGGAGCACCATCTGTGGCTGTCAGCTGAAGCTGCCACTTAGTGGGCCCTAACACAATCAGCATGTCAACACTTGCCAACAATTGGAGCTTCCACAGTCGCCTCTAATGTGCCAGAAAATTCTAAGTACGGAGGAGAAACGCCTCAGAAATGAGCTGATTCGAGCTCGATTCTGGAGGAGGCCGAATCATGTCGCGGGGCAGACGGAGTGATTCGGCCTCTGCGGCGATGAATGAAGATCACACGCACAGATTTTTTTTTTAGCTGAAAATACTGCAAGCACATCACAGTGCAGCGGATGGAGAAGTGATGTGTGTCCGTGTGAGCAGCGAACACTCACTAGATGGAGCCAAACGCTTATGACAGGCAAAAATAATCATCACTCTGGGTTCCATTTTCACAATGTCACCCTCTCACAACAGAGAAAAACTGCATTTATGGATTCTGGGTAAATTATTCTGATAAATGTAGCTGTCACTTTTACTCTATTTAAATTTAACTGGAGAAAACGACTGACCAGCATCTTTGTCAAGGAAATGATAGTGGAATATATCACTTCATGTATTTTTACGGCATTCAATCAACCCATGAATTGTCACAATCTGTTCCATCTATAATGCCTCACATCTAGAACTGCAAACTTGTGAGATCTCAATTTAATGAGCACTCGATATAATAACACCCCAGGCTATAAGAATAAAGCTTTAATGCACCTTTGCATGCTGGATCTTTGACATAGACCTTTCCAAAAATCGATTTGCATGTTCGGTGTTGTGACAGTTGTGGTGCAGAATATTCAGTAGCCACTAGCGCCTTGTACGGACGCTTCAGCATTTTCAACTTATAAATCTGTGTTTCTACTTTGTGACCTCACTGCTTTTCTCTAACCCCTTTACTTTTTAGGATATGTGAAATTTTCCCCCAATAACCCTTTACAGACAAAATAAAACTGTGCTTTTACATACAGTGAAGTCCAAAATCATTCAAACTTTCATTTATCTTGCACTATTTTTTGACCAGTAGGTTTCTTCTGACTGAAAATAACAAACAAGTGCCAAAAAAAAAGGTTGTTTTATAAAAATGCTAAGTCTAAAATGACTCATACCTCTTTAAATTGCTGCAAATTTTTAAAGAAAGTGCAGCTTCTACACCATTCCAAATGGCTCTGTTAATTTCTACCATGTTCCAGAGCGTTCTAATACACTACAAACAAAGAACAGCTGATGCAGTAGTTCTCTAGTCACTTCCAAGTCATGGCTAAAACCACAGAGCTCAGTCAGCTGCTGTTAGGGTCCATCACAGAGAGAAAGCTGCACATTGTAGCTGTTTACAAGATGATCAAAAGCTGTAAAGTGCTTTCTAAGTGCCAGTGGCCACAGTGCAAAGCATCACTAGAAAGTTCCACACTGAAAAATCTTTAGTATGAAGCCAAAAGTCAGCCCTGCAGTGGCATGAGAGACCAAGAAGAACCCAAGGATCAGCACCAAGAGCATCCTGATAACAAAATCTCAACGCAGACACTGAACAAGGCTGGTGTCCATCCAGGCCAAGGAGGACTCTACTTGTCCAAGACGGTTACACAAAGTTCAGCTGGACAAAGAAGAAAATTCTGTGCTGGGATGAGATGAAAATGCAGCAGTTTGGACACAGAGAAAGGAGATGGATTCAAGACCAAGAGCAGCATCTCCACGGTCCAACATGGTGGTGGAACGTGATGCTTTGGGGCTGTTGTTGAGCCGACGGACCAGACAGCCTGGTCAGAGGAAACGGCATCATGAGAAAAGAGGAGAACATTCAGATTGTGGAGGAGAACATCAGGCAGTCTGCAGGAACATTGGGCAGCATTGGAGCATCCACAAGACAATGATGTGAAACATGCAGCCAAAGTGGTGAAGAAACAGTGAAGAGGAAACAATGAGGAGATGTTGGAGCGGCCCAGCCAGAGTCCAGACCTGAATCCATCCAGAACCTGTGGAGGAACTGAAGAGCAGAGTGATGGAGAGGAAGCCTTCAAGCTCCAAGAGCTGCAGATGAACACTTGGAGGAACTAAATCCCAGTGGAGACCTGCAGGAAGACTTTGATACTGATTACTGAGGAGGAGTGTGAATCATTTTAGCCATAATAGTTCAAACGAATCACTAACATATCCAACATTGTGTATTGCTGTCTTTTGTCACTCGTTTATGGAATTTCCAAGTGAAAGAAACCTATTGTTCAAATAGAAATTCACTAAATCTAAATTTTGAATAATTATGTCACATTAACATCCTAAAAGCAGTAAAGATAACAAAACACAATTTAACTTGTATTAGAATATTGTCAGAATAATCAAATAGCTGAAAAACAGCTAAAAGACAGACATCTCAAACATGCAGGAAATTAGTGGTGGTTTAATTTAATCTTCTGAAATGCAAAAAACAGTTAATCACATAAAATGTGTAATACGTCAATTTTTCAATCACACACATGCTGTCAGAGTAAAGGAAGAGCAGTTGTGGTAAGGTCTACATTTCCCTTCAGTACATTTAAATGTGCCTTTAAACCAGAGTTTTTCAGCTGTCAAAAAAGCCGAGCATACAACTCTTGGGACAAATATTTAATACAAAAAGATACTGAAGGTATAATCTCATAAATGCATATTTAGCGAACTTAAATACTGAGTGATACAAGACATTCACCCTTAATCTGGAAGAGAATTTAAAAAAAGAGGCAAGTCTTGTGTTAATGAAAAAGTAGCATCGTTTCTCCTGCGTGTAAAACGGACCATTTGGCACAGGAGCAGATTCTGAAAGCGGCATGTACGCAGAGATACATGCAGAAATACAGTGTGTGTCGGAAACAAACCAAACCCAGGCTGTAGGAAACAGTTCGTACACATGTGTCTTCAATTCTCTGCAACCACCTCAGCTCTCCCGTGTTCTGATGCCTTCAAAGAGCGTCTGAGGTCTGCAGGCTTTTTTTTTTTTTTTAAAAACATCACACGGTGCCTGTCCAGAGTTGTTGTAAGACTCTTTTTCTGCACACTTCAGCATCATCTGGCCCTGGAGCGCTTGACAACAATCGTACCAGCTACCATATCATACACAGTCCTGTTGTGCTGGAAGAACAGGAGTGTGATGAAGGCCGGGAAAAAGAAGGCAATAGAAAAGTTCTTGTTCAAGGCTCGGACAGTTGATCTGTGGACGGAGACAGAAACGGTGGCTCTGTTACGTGATGTGAAGCAGGTCGTGCATATAAATAGACGGCTTTCCACTGCAGGAACTTGTGGCAGATGCGAGGAGGTGCGAACATTTAGGAGAACAGTCCAATAATTTGCTCTTTCAGCTTTTCTGTTTCCATTTTAGTGCAGCATCCAACAGTGTAGACGCTGACATCAGAGCTCTGCATTCGCCAAAACAAATAGTAGTTACTGGACTTAACTCCAGTTCTAAGACAACGTAGGAAATATAACAATATAGGTTTGCTATGTTCTCTTATATGGAAAATTTTACGCTGTTGATTGCGATGTTAGAAAACGGAAGTCTGCACTCCTGAACGAGGACATCGAGAAGACAGAAAAAAACCTGTGTTGAGACCCACAAGGCAGATTTTCAGCTCTTGTTTAAGTGGGGAAAAAAAACATAGATAAGGAGAAGAACAAGATGAACTTTGCATTATTTATGTGTTTTGGGGGGGTTTTTATGTCCTCTTTTCATTGTTTACTTTGGAGCAAAAATTTGAATGCAGGACTTTTTTCTTTTGACAGCAAATATCAACAGTGGCGCGGTATCTGCACAGATCCACCGAGCGTCTGCTCTTACATGCCAAAGACTTGTTGCACTTGTGGCAACAAGCCTCGTCAGCACTGACTCTAGTAAAATGTAACCACACTTTTGAATGCTTTTCTGCCATTGTCACGAAGAGCAGGCTCTGTGTGTGTCTGCTGCAGCTTGTTGCAGAGACAGCTGGCCCTACCTCTTGTACACTCTTCTAGGTTAGGAACAGACAAAATGCTTCATAGTGATGATGAGACAAAATGTGCAAAATCATATTCATGTAGCAAAAATAAATAGAAAATGTATGTTCTTGATTTATTTTTTATTGGTTTAATGCCAGGATTCAGGGTTTGTTCCTGGAGGAAGTACCTCTCAGTCACCCCCTGAAAGAGGTTCTCCAGAGGCAGTCAGAACGCACACAATAGTTTGGGTCGCCCGAAATCTGCCCACAAGTTCCTGCGAGAAGTTTCATAACAGAAAAAGCAATTTTTTTGTTGTGAAACTTCTGAAATACAAACTTTAAGATGAAGTACTCACGCAGATAGAGAGACGTTAGTCGCTGGCACCACTAGAACCCTGTTGGGCTGAACCAGAACTGACGAATCGCATGTGACAACTCTGAGTCCGATGAGAAACTTCCCTGGAGTGGCTCCTCCTGCTCCCCAAATGCACACGATCTGAACGCAGAAAGGAGCTGTCACTGAGCTGTCTCCTAATAGCACAAAGTCAGACTCATGACAAGAACGTTAACGTGAGCGCTCACCTCGTAAAAACACACTAATATCCGGTACACGAGAGCAACAAGCATCATTTTCTGAAGCTCCTCCATCGACGTGTCTTCGTCTATTTCCTCCACTATGAAATGCATGGCGAACTTAGAAACATCTCTGCAAAACAAAAAACAAAAAAAAGACTTTAGTTTTGCTTTAAAAAGTGGAAAAAAAGCACAGGTTTGAATGTCACTTTGCCACCGCTATTTACATAAACCAAATAGACTCACTTGATTCCACTGAGGTGCATAATACTGATGATTATGGTTGCTTTGATGAAAAACAATATGAAGAAATCCACCATCTCAGCCATTAGTCTTTGGAGCGGTGAAGGAATGCTATACTCCCGACCTGGTGGAGAGTCACACCAAAGAAAAGTCAAACAGGTACACGACAATATATGGCCAAAAGGCTTCTACAAAGTCATTGCTCTCATTTAGCCACAAGAGCATCTGTTGATGATGAGGCCTAATTTGCAGCAAGTGTTCCACTTAATGCCAAGTTAGTTCAATGGTGACAACTAGTACAGATATTATTGTATGCTTAAGAATTCTGATTTTCTTGAGTAAAGGGGTGCCTCCGAACCACGAAAAAAAACCCCAGACCAAAACAAGAAAAGTACTTTTGAGCCCAAAATTCTTCATACCCATGCCAAAATTTTGATATAGCATTTTTGTATTTTTATTTGACCAATAGGTTTCTTCTGGCTGGAAATGACTTAACAAGTGACAAAAGACATTGTGTTAAAGATATTTATAAGAAATTTAAAAAAATATTTCTATGTGGTTTTTTTTTGTTTGTTTTGTTTTTTTAATTTTTACTACATATGCCACGTCCAAATCTATCTATACCATTTCTCAGTATTCAAAGTCAAAGCCGTTATTTGCCACCACACCAAACATTTATTTTATTCACTAACAGTCTTCCTGCAGGTCTCCACTGGGATTCTGCTCCTCCAAGTGTCCATCTGCAGCTCTCTGAGCTTGAAGGCTTCCTCTCCATCACTCTGCTCTTCAGCTCCTCCACAGGTTCTGGATGGATTCAGGTCTGGACTCTGGCTGGGCCGCTCCAACATCTCCTCATTGTTTCCTCTTCACCGTTTCTTCACCACTTTGGCTGCATGTTTCACATCATGGTCTTGTTGAAGCTCCACTGCTGCCCAAGCAGCAGTGTTCCTGCAGACCGCCTGATGTTCTCCTCTGTTCTCATGAAGCCGTTTCCTCTGACCAGGCTGTCTGGTCCGTCGGCTCAACAACAGCCCCAAAGCATCACGCTTCACCACCATGTTGGACCGGGGAGATGCTGCTCTTGGCCTTTAATGCTTCTCTTCTTTGTGTCCAGAAAACTCTATTCTCATGTGATCTGGCCACAGATGTTATGAGCAGCAGCTTTAATCTTTGTCCAGCTGAGCTTTTGTGTGTCTGTTTTGAAGAAATAAAGTCCTCTTTGGTCTGCGTCCATGGAGTCCAGCATTGTTCAGTGTCCGATGTTGATATCAGAACTGCTCACATTCATCAGGATGCTCTTGGTGCTGATCCTTAGATTCTCCAACCCTGGAAGTTTTTCACAGTGTGGAACTCCTTGTACTATTTGATTACGATCTGCTGGCACTTGAAAACACGTGGATATGACTTTACAACCTTTGAACATCTTGTGAACAGCAACAACGTGCAGCTCTCTTTCAGTGATGGACCATAATTGCAGCTCTTTGGTTTCAGCCATGACTTGCAGTTGACTAGTATCTGACTGGAGAACTACTGCATCAGCTGCATTCGTTTATAGTGTATTAGAACATGGCAAGAATTAGCAGGAACGTTTGTCATGGTGCATTATCTTAAAGAATTGAAGGCTGTGAGTCATTTTGGACAAGGTTTGTTTGATAAAGATATACAAACAAACACAGAGTTAGCTCAAATGTGTGCCTGACATGTCTAACACAATGTCACTTCATTTTTGTCATTTCCAAACCTGTTGCTTAAATATAAATTCACTATGAATTTAAAGTTGACATGGGTATGAATAATTTAGGGCTTCGATGTAAGGTTGACAGGGGTGTGTCAAGATACGTGTGGTAGTTGTCGGTCTACATTTTGACAACCTGCAGACACAAAGCAGCAGTTTATTTTATTTGTATTTATTTTTTTTTACCTGGTCTCTGAGCGTTTCCATTCTCCTGCGGCTGCTGCTGCTGAGGCTGAGCGGCCACAGCAGCCCCGCCGGCGGCTTCCCCTCCGCGGTTGCTCGGGGAGGTGACCGCCGGCGGGTAAGGCAACAGGGGAAGACCAAACGGACTGGAGTACCAGTTGTGGGAGTTAAAATCCAGAGCCGTGGACGTCCCGCCGGGCGGCTGCAGATAATACGGGCAGGACATGGCTGACGCTGCCAGCCAGCTCTGCCAGTTCACATATCCAGTGTAGTACTGCCACATCCATGCCTGCAGCTTCTCGCAGTACTCCGTCGTGGCGCGGCTTCCTGCGGCGTCTTTCCCGGCCTCAGCCCCGCTCTGGTCACCGGTTCTTGGAGTTGCCTCGTCAACGAGTGTCTTAACCGGATTAGCAAAAGGTTTATTCTTTTCTTTATCGACTTCCATATTTGTGTTTTCTTGGTCGGCCATGTTTGATGGCGTTGCGGAACGTCATGTAGGAAGGTTTCATCTCGGATAAAGACAGGGTGCGTGAGAATTTAATGCTACGATCGAGGAGAACATTATTGTTAGGAAGTATATAACCACATATTTAATAATGAGTTATTTATTTGTTTATGATAGACAAACTCACAACCTCTTGTCCGTTTCATGAGTAATTGTGACATCGCCTCCCCCCTCTGACAGGCTGCAGTGGTACAGTCCAGTCAGTCCCTGCCGTTACAGGAAGCGGCCACTAGGGTGCAGCATTTCTCCCAAAATAAAAGCTGCTGTGATGTTAATGAAATTCAGGGTCCTCCAGTTCATGTTATGTAATAATTCAAATCAGTATGTAATGCAGCAAAACATGTCAGAATGTAGCTTTTGGATTTGTTTGAATGATCCCACTTCAATCTTTGATTAAAAACATTCATATTTAGAACTTAATTAATTAGAAAACTATTGTGGAATTTTGATTATTTGCTGCAAAAATCTTCTGGTTGTAGCTTCACATTGGTGGATGCAGGTCAAGCAGTTTAAGGACTGCTCTGTCATGAAAATGCCATAGAAATCTTTGGATTTGTTGGATTGAATGTATATTTCTGTGGGGTTTTAGCTATATTTTTTTACAATTAGTCAGATAATTTGTTAGAATATATGACATTTATGTTAGTCAGGACAATTTACATTTTATAAAATGTTGTCTGGTCCCAACCTTGATAGGTAATTTAGTGAACAGTGAATGGATTTGTTGGGTTTTGGATGTATAATTTTGTGGACTTTTAGCTTTACTTTTTTTAAATTGTCACAAATTTTGTAAAAGTATATAATATTGTAGGTTTTTAACGGTAATGTTTAAGTTATTCAGGTTAATTTGTATTATATATATATTATTGTACAGTCTTCGTCTTAATAGTTGATTCAGTTAATAGTGGAATTGTTAATTCCCTATGAGGAATATGCTTTCTAACTGTGAATCTTTTTGGATTTGTTGGGCTTGCCATGTATAATTTTGTACAGGGTTAACTTTACCTGTCAAACCAGTCAGGTAATTTGCTCAAATATATCATATTGTAGGTTCTTAACTTTAATATTTAGCTTCGTTGTGTTAATTTGTGTTATATATGATATTGCAGGGTCTTAACCTTACTATAAAATTTGTGTTTTAGATCATTTTGTATCAATCATTTCTAAATTACTCAGTCAAATTTGCATAATGAACAACACTGTCGGGTCTTTGCTTTAATATTTAAACTTTTTAGGTTATTACGCGTTGCTGTTTTTATTTCTCTCCTGGAAAACTGTTGTTTTAAATGTGGTCTGTATAAGCAAGTCACTTGACTTCACTTTAGATCCTTTTAACATCTGATGCAATTTGTTATTTTGTACACATATTTTAAGTTATAGCACACTTTTATTTAGCCAGTACGTTTCTTCTGGCAGGTACTGAAACAGACATGTGACAAAAGATAGTAAGACATTGTGTTTAAGATGATAAATTCGAACAATTTGTTACATTTTTACTGAGGATGCCATGTTTAAAATGATCTATACCCTTTTCCAGTGATCAGTGACATCTTTTTTTATTGTTATCTTGGATGCGTTACAGGTTAAATGATGAACCCGTCGTAACCAATAGATTAATTTAATTAAATAGGAAAACAGTATTTGTTTGTATGTAGCCACCGGCTGCTCTTAAGACTAACAAAGGAGCCCTTAAGTCGATTTAGAACAATACAAGAATTCACCAGCTGATGGTGTGATTGTGTTTAAAGGGATAAAAACCATTTCAAAGAAGGTCTGCGTCTTAAAACCTGCACACAACCCAAAGTAAGCTTAATCCTTAACAATGGGGTATTCAAAATTTCAAAATGAGATGGGAAGGAGTGAATTTTCTGCACACAAAAAAAATTGTATCCGATCCATGCATATTACCAAAATACGCATTTTTGCACATATTATGTTCCCAGTATTTAAGAACAGTTAAAGCAACTCCCGTGTGCATGCGGCATGGTCTTATACAACGTGGCACTCCAGACAAACGGACCAGCTTGTCGGTAGTCAGCACTCATTGTTGCCTGACCACCACCTGGGGTCACAATCATTCACTAAAGCCTGGAAATCTTTTGGAGGATTTATGCCTCAACCTACTGCTCCAAAGAACCCTAATTAAAACGAATTACGTGCGCTTGCTCGACTTCCACGTCTGTGCATCCGAGACGAGAGGCCTGTTACAATCTGAGGTCACCGTTCCAGACCCCAAGCAGGGATTTTAGGCCTCCCCCTCCCCTCATCACCCACGTCCTTGTCCTCAGAGGGCTGCTCTCTGAGAACATGTTGCTTTTTCTTGTCGCAACAAAAGGCCTTTGTGCACCCCCCACCCTCTTTCCATGTAGCTTTTTAGATTAGTCTCTCCAGCCAAGCAGCTTTGTTTCCTTGCTATAAGATGTGTAATCTAATGTTTAAACTATTTACTTGCTTTAATTTAAATCTGGCAACCAGCCCTGTAATCTAAATCACATTACATCGAGGAAATGCTGATCAAGAGGGACTCATAATCACATGGTGCTAGAAAAATGAGGTCAGTGTTCTCAAACGTTATTGACTTCTGAGCGATTAGTTCGCCTTTCAAAGTAGCTTTTGCTAAAGCTAGACATGGTCTGATTTAGTGGCATTTTTGAAGCATCGAGTGCATTTTCTGCAACTTTTTAACAATTTGGAAATGTCACAGAATGAGCATGAATAACTGATACAGACTTGAGTATCACAGTTCAGACTTTATTGGCATGTTTGGCAACAGCTCAGTGCATTTGGTGTCTTGATAGTAGAGAGGTCAAGGCCAAAATAGACAAAAAGGCATTAAGCGTCTTTCTCATAGGTCCTCACTGCAACAATATCATCCATGACACATTTCTGTTGAGACAGGAGACAAAAAACGCATCACATCCCTCATTTAATGTCAATAAAGTGTTAAGTTAGAAGATCAGGAACGTGCAAATTAATCAGGTAAACGGTTGATTACTCACAGCCGTCAGTTTGCCATCCTGAATCTCTCGCTCCAGCGTGGTCGTCTTGCCTTCCCAGTTCTGTACTTGCACAAGTTTTCCGTTCTCACAAGTGAAGGTGGTCTGAAAATTAAATCAGGAGTCAGAAAGGCACGAAAAATTTATTTAAAAGGAAAAAAAAAAAAGAAAAAGCTTCTAACGAGGCCCACCTTGGTGGTCCGGCCGTCTGCGGTGGTCTCGTCAAACTGCTCGTTGAGCTTGAATTTGGTCTCGGTGGTCTTGAAGGTGGTCTCAGACTTCATTGTAATGACCCCATCATCGCCCACGCTGATCACCAGCTTGGGCTTGGCCAGGTTGCCCATTTGCCGGGTGGCAAAGTTCACACCTTTAAAAGACAAAGAGGCTGAATGAGGAGGACGCTTCTGCTCTGAGACTCAGTCATGAAACTTACAGCTCAGACTTGGCCACTTTCTGAAGCCCCCCCTTTAAAATTCTAAAGTTAATGAACAGCAACATTACCGATGGCCTTCATGTATTCATCGAAGTTGTCGCTGGAAGCCAGTTTCCAGGTGCCCTCGAACTGCTCGACCATGGTGCTGATGCTGAGGCTCGGTGTGCTGCGGGGGTCTGGGTGCGTGTCCACGGTGAGGCGCGGAGAGAACTGACACGCTGCACAAAGACTGTATTTGAAGGCCGCCCGAGCACGTGGTCGATGCGGAGCCGCCAATCAACGGCAGGTGCGGGCGTTGCCATAGAGACGGGCGGATCAAGGAGGGGGCGTGGCCTTAAATCTGATTCCGTTGATGTGTTTGATGAGGCGCGTGCGTTCAGTGACCAGCGGAAGAGGTGATGACATGAGCTGACCTCTATCAGTCAGTCAGAGTTTATTAAACACAAGATGATTTACAGGAAGAAAAGGAATAAAAATAATAATGAAAAACAATAATTAGAAAGAAAAGAAAAAAAGAATTCCACCTTCCTACACCTGCCATAATCTTATTGTAAATTAAGGACTCTATAAAAGGGACTGAAGGACTCATTATAAATAAATGCGACGAGAAAACAGCAAAAAAAGTGCAAAACAGCAAAAATAAAACAAGACTTTTAAAAAGTCAGTGATAAAAGACAGATAAAATAGACTAAATTTGTATAAATAAAGAAATAAAATGGATTTTTAAATGAAAGTATTGAAATTATTGTTGTTGTAATTTCAGTAATAATTAAAAATAATGACAATAAATGTATTCATATTTTAATTATATTTAATTATGCTTTGGGGGGTATTTATTTATACTTTATTTTAAAAGTCAAAGTGATAAAAGATGGATAAAATAGACTAAAGTGTATAAATAGATCAATTTAAAAATAAAATAGATTTGAAAAGAAATCATAATAATAATAATTATTATTATTATTACATTCATATTTTTGAATTGTTTTCTTTCAAAAAATACATTTATCAGTGTATTTATTTATACTTTATAGTCTATTATATCCATCCTTTATCACTTCACTTATTTATTTTTGCCTTTTTTTTTATAATTCTGACATTTGTATTTACAATTACCATTATAATCATCATTTTTGTGGTTTAAAATGTTTGTCTTATCCTGTCTCTGGTGCATTTATTTATGTAGTATTCCCTCAGTTCCATATGCTTCTTCCAGAACTACTACTACTACTTTTTTAAATGTCATAAATCAGAGTTTATTGAGAATAAAACTAATCAAAAATCTGATTAAAAGGGTAAATCTGGAGTTTGCTTTTAACACCATCGGCCCTCTGTGTTGCCCTCAGGGCTTGATGAAGGCTGTTTCAGAGACACAGGCAGTAATAACAACAAGAACACCACCAGAAGACCTGCAGGTTCAAGGGATAAAAGAAAATCCGACAAACAGGTAGGATCAAGACCATTAGGAGTTTTATAAACCAATAAAAGGATCTTAAATTCAGGCACACAGAGTTCAGTTTGGAAGCAGTTGTGGCTGACTTGTTTTCTTGTTGGGGAGATTAGATAGCAGAGCATTACAATCCTGCAAGTAATAAACATTTATCTGAGTGTCTCTGTACTGGCTTGAGAAAGAAACTTTAACAATCTGACTTTTTTTTTTTTCAGATGATAAAATACATTCTTAGCTATGTTACTGTGAGGCAGAAAACTTCATGCCAGTGTTTTCAGCTTCACGTTAAGGTTTCTCGCTCTGACTTTGAGTAAATAGATATATAGAACATTTTGCATTCTCAGAAATGGAGGTACATTAGAAGTCCATGTCTGTCCTTAGAGGTACAAGCTACAGCAATGTATCCTCATTATTGGACCTCAGGGTGACTGTGTGTGTCTTTATTAGGGCCAAAGAGCTGCATCTACAAACTATTTCCTGGAAATGTTAGTCAAGAGACAGAAAACTTGTTGTATATTTGGAGGTTGTACTGTTTACTTCTTGAATTAGATTGTCTGAGTAGCTTTGAAACAAAAAAAGAAACGATGGGTTCATTTGCACAAACAGGTAACTCCATCTTCACAAACCTTCAGAAAACCCTCTTTTCCATCGTCTACCTGAGACGATATCAATCAAACTTAAGTTATCTCATTTCTACTGAGTCAGATCCACTCAGCTTCAGTGTGATTGATGTTACCTCAAGCAAACAACACAAAAAAACAAGTTTTCTTAAAAACCAACAATAATGTATAGTAAAATATCTGTTTTTGCAAATGAACTCTTCAAATAAAACTTTGCTAGCAGGACATTAGACGTGAAAAAATCTGCAATTATCTGGTCAATACAATCATTATGATCAAATATTGCTTCTTAATAGATGGAAAACAACATTCAAGTGTCAACAAATCAGAAGTAAGTTTGTTGGTGCCTTTTTGTCACTCAGAGAGTTGCTCTCTTTCTGTCCTGGCTGTTGAGGCCTT